TAAAATAAGTAAATAATTCAAGTGTCAAGCATATTTTTTTCTATTAGACGCGTGATACTGATATTGGGTATCGAGGTGTTGGTTTCTGGCAGTGAAGTTGGGTACAAGATAGGCAATCCAACTAATATAGACATTAAATCAGATGCTGAATCCACATCTACATCCACAGCTGCAAGTTCTCCTTTTCCAACTAGTGAGTATATCGTTGGCTTGCGCCAATTGTGTCTAGAATAAATTACCAATTAACTTGTGTTTGCAATATTTTTTTGAATGGATTTTTTAAAATCTGTTTTGCTAATAGATGGTGCAGCCAAAAGGAGTTCTTCAAATCATTATGCCTCTTCTGATATATCTACTACACCAATCGCTGCATTAAGTCCTTACCAAAACAGGTAAGAGAATTCTATTCTGTATAAAATATATTTAAAAATACACGTCATTGAAGATGGAGGGACAATGATAAAATTGTATTTAGATGGGTGATCAAAGTTCGTGTGACTAATAAGTCTCCAATCAGAACATGGAGCAACTCCCGTGGAGAAGGCAAGCTTTTTTCCATGGATCTGATCGATGAAAGCGGCGAAATTCGATGTACCGCATTCAGAGATCTATGCGACAAGTTCTATGACATGATAGAGGTACGCGTCATATGACTGAAATCAACGATGGGTATATGAAACTTTTTCTCCATGAAGGATTAAGTTGTCGAGTGTTTTTATTTATACAGCCTGGAAATGTGTATTATATCTCGCGGTGCACACTGAAGGCAGCGAACAAACAGTTTAATATGTTGAAAAACGATTACGAGATGACGATGACCGGCGATACAGAGATCGTCCCTTGCCACGAAAACAGTGATGACATCCCGACGTTGCAGTTTAACTTCTGTCCCATAAGTCAAGTAGAAAACAAAGAAAAAAATGTCTTAATAGGTACAGTAATAAAAGCTAATTGAATCTTAAACATTGGTTACGTTAATCAAATGATTTTTTTCATCGTTAATGTGTATCCTCGATAATTTTATCTATATCAATTGACAACATTTATTTCTTGTTATAATCTTATCTCTGAACTAAATGGCAATTAAATGTTATCTCTAAGTATCAATTGCAAATCGCCCTGCATTAAAGTTTTACTGTATACGATAATAAATAACAATTTGAAAATTTGAAATATGATATAAAATAAGATTTGGTAAATATATAATTGGATTAATTTGAAAATTATGGGTATAATGATTCATTTGTAATAGATGTCTTGGGCGTCGTTACAACTTTCAACGATGTACAACATATTATGCAACGAACTACCGGCCGAGAGCTCTTGAAGAGAGATGTTAATATCGTTGATGACAGCGGCACAATGGTGAGCAGTTTATTGACAGATTTTAACATTTTGCTATTACGGGTGAATAAACAAAATTGTCTGTTAGGTGTGCGTTACACTGTGGGGAAAGCAAGCCGAGGACTTTGATGGTTCTAATAATCCGATCTTAGCCATTAAAGGAGCGCGTATCGGCGAATTTAATGGTGGAAAAAATTTATCCCTTATAAATTCCTCCGTACTTGAAAAGGATCCTGATCTTCCTGAAGCACACAGGTATATTCAAGCTGATTCTGAATTAAGGCAATTCTAACTTCGTAATTATAATTAAAATTTATTTGTAATTGAGAGAAATAACCTCATTTTACGTTTGCTCTTTATGTAATTTTTAACGTTAATTAATTTCTTAATTATGTCTTTTATTAGAATTTATTGTTATTTAGATTGGCGTTTCTAAATTTCTTTGAAAATATGCTGTTGTGAATATATAATTTTGGAAATCCAATATAATTACATAAAAACACAGTATAACATTTATATGATACATATTTCAGATTGCGCGGATGGTACACTGCAGTCGGCCATTCGGAGAACGCTAAATCATTGTCTAGAGCAGGTGGAAGTGGTGACTTCAACGCGCCGTTGTGCACTTTCCAGGAGGCGACCGAAGCTCGATTGGGAGAAAAAATGAATCTCCCAGATTCATTTACAGTGGTGGCGATCGTTAACATGATTCGCGTGGAAAATGCCATCTACAAGGCGTGTCCCGTAGATGGTTGCAAGAAGAAGGTGAATAGTACGCGACACGAATAGAATTTATAAAATGAAGATTCATGATATATTTTTAAGCTATTTAACAAAATACGAGTTACTGTAAAACTTGAATTTAATTTCAGTTAATCGATCAATCTACCGGAGTATTTAGATGCGA